TGCTACGTCAGCAGTCATTTGTTCCAGAGTACTTTTTGCATGCGGCCGGAAGGAAGTTCTCTCGAAAGCCAACATCCTTTGGTAACGGAATTACTATAAAATTATGCTGTAGGTTGATTAGTTTTACAACCATACTTAATTAAACTTTTCAAAACGAAAATGCATTTCAGAATTTCGATTGACATCTCGTGAGTTAGCCTAACCACTGTAATTCGCACGCACAGCTGTATATTGATCTCTAGTCTCACAACACAGTGTCACCGCCACCACCACCACCACCACCACCACAACCACCACCACCACCACCACCACCACTACCACCACCATTAGCATCACTTGTGGACATCCGCCTACCATTCTGCCAAGCATCACCTTAATCGACCGCCAACAATTATGATTTAATTGCATTCTGTTCTCACTGTGTCCCTACATTTGTATCTTACGTAGACCTGGGAGGTCGCTGGCGAATCCATCACAAAAAGACCCGAAACCAAGGCGCTAGGGGTACCTGTCGCTCTAGTCTTACCTACCGACACTGCTTCAGGACATTCGCACGCGACAAGAATAATTTTAAGTCTACGTGTATAAACGATAGCGACAATCAACGCAATTAGCACACGTCATACACTCGAAAGCTCCTTGACCATCGACGCAATCCCATCCAAACACCAGTATCCCCACCACTATCGGGGTCGTAGCCAATATCAACTCAGTAACCACAGTGCTATCACTGATCACGCGAGAATTCATAGTTGGGAGACTGAGAAACTAAGACTAGAAGCTCTGACGTGCACATCTTCCTAGTCTACCTACGAATCTCTACGGCAGCACATATAAACATAAGCCATACAACACAATACTTGCCTTCTGTAAGATGCATACAACCTAATTAGTTATCACTGTTAGGTTGGGTGAAAACCTGAGCAACTGAACCTGTACCTACCACTTATTTAGGAGGCACACCACCTGATGTTGCCTGGCGAGAATGCTGCAGACCACGTTTTGTGTGGTCTAAAGGTCTGAAAGCGTGTGCTATGCCAGCATCAGCAACAGAAAAGCCCTCGCAGTCTGGTATGGGGTGGCAGTTCTCTGACACCTGAATCCCTGCCGGAAGATGCGCTTGCACCCCCGCTGGGTGTGCAAGTGGTAGGCATGGCTGCCCAGTCATCATCCTCGTCCTTCTGACCCCTGCTGGGCTGTTGTTGTTAGTTGTGAAAAATCCTGGTCAAGTGTATGTTGTGGACCAGGGGATTTGAGGGCGCACCTAAGTCCGCGTTCGGCCGTGCCAACCACCTGCGTCTTAAACCGCCTCCGATCTTCTTTACTCCGTTTTGACACTGGGTCCAGCTGGGGAAGGAGAAAGTGCGGCAAATGCTGCGCAAGTCTAGTTTTATCTGCTGCCTTCCTTGTGCTGACTGCCCGCCTGAATATACAGGCTATTGCCGGAACCGGTATGCTTCTGCGCCTTCTCCAAACCGAAAGCTCTTGTCATTTCTGCAGTTGGTTGAGCCGCCATCGGGTCTGGTTAATGTGACTAAAATTAAGCATCGCTAATATAGAGGCATAAATCACGTGTGCGAATGTCAGGCCACTGGAATGATGTTGCCAGTCAAAATAACCGCACACAGAGCTGAAGGGTTAGGTTTTAGGCAACGGTAGGTTGAAAGATCCCACTTAACTGTCAGTAGACTGTGGATTGTATCATATGGAGCTTTAAATTGTCATTCATCTGCAGACTTCTGCAGACACTGCCAGCGTCAACGTGTAGGTGCTCGGATACGATCTACAGTCTACCGAAAGATAAGTGGGGTCATTCACCCTATCTTTGCCAACTTAGAATTTAGACTGTCCTAGTTATCGATCACAGCATATCTTCTTCTATATGCCAGAGAACTCTTCCAAAGGCGCATACTCTCACCAAGTTTGATAGATAACATTCATATTGGCTTGGTGATTTCATAACTCAATACACCAAGCGGAGCTGTCGTTCCTCACGAAGCCACGTTAAATTCAAGCCAACAACATGCCGCGCCAAAAGTTGTGGCCCAGAAAGCCGTCTCCTCTGGCTTCTCCCGTCTCCAGCTCTGCGCTCGAGACTCAGAGGTCAGACTATGATGGCTGCTTCTGAATGTAACCTTCTGCGGGCTGTTGTAGGCTATTTTTACGGAGTGAGTACTTTCGTGACCCTGCACCACGTCACCTAACGCCCACAGTCTCATTTTCACACTCCCAAGTGCCAGTTAGACAGTGCGTGTGTGTGTTTGTTAAATTCATTTTTTTTCAAACTGAAGTGCTGATTCTCATCTAAATCGGGTAGAACATGAGCCATTACTGCATTTACAAGTTGGAGTATCTGCGCTGATCGTTGGTCACAAAATCGGGGTAGCTTATGCACGGTCATTGGTTATCCCTTTGGGGGGCCATTATCATCCCGCTGGGTATACAGGTGTTGGACATGGCTGCCCAGTTATCCTCGTCGCTCTGACGCCTCTTGGGGTGTTGTTAGAGGTGAAGAGTCTTGGTTAGGTGTATCTGGTCGACCAGGGGTTTGGCGGCACGCCTAGGTGAGGGCCCGCCCGCGCCAGCTACCTGCGTCCTCCCGCCGTCGGTCTTCTTGACTCTGTCTTGACACGCGGTCCAGGTGGGGGAAGAGGAAAAAGTGCGGTTGATGCTCCGCAAGCCTACATCCGCCATAAAGTAAAGCATGTCACTGTTTCTGCGTCATCTTTCAGCGGACCACACAGTGGACATCGTCGGCAACGACGGTTGAGCTGTCAGTTAACCATCAATTTATTTCTACTGGTCGTTACCTCCTTCTCCATCCTCTAGTTTTCCTCCCTCTCCTCCTCTTGATGGTACTTATAATGATGACGATGGGGATTGCTGGCGACAATTAGTTATTCGTCTTTATTTTGGGACGAACTTTCAACCGATCCTTACAACGAGCACCGTTCCTGATGAATAGGGGAAAGCGCTTTGATACAGACAATAGGACGCGTTTATCATTAACCACAACTTTACTGTTTCCTTAAAAACGGAAATTGTCAGACATAATGGGGAGCATAATATTCAGGTCGGACGTACAAACTGTCTGTCAAGACAGATGCCCAGCTTTCCTCCATTTTCTACTGTTGTCTATACCTCCACTTTCTGGGTCAAGGGATAACCTGTCTGCGTTCAACATACAGTGAGTGACCGATCTCATCAAATGTTGGCTGAAATTCTGAAATACGTCTTCGTTTAGGAAGGACTACTTAGACGTTATTTTGATTCGGAGTATCTTGCGGCAAAATCCCGTAATGTGTCTAACTCGGCAGAATGTCGGCTTTTGAGTACATTGTTTTTCAATCTCCTGTAGAAAGCGTTCTCGGTAAAAATTTCTTCTTAGGTAGCACGCATTTTTTCCATTGATTTTCGATGGCCAGCATCA